CATCACTCAATATACAATTTCCATTAAAATATATGTTAGTATTATTAATATGGTTTACTGTAGGTGATTTCATATTACAATATATTATGCAATATACAGCAATTCATTAAATTTCCATTAATAACTAACATTTTCTGCTGAAATTTCTAAAAAAAATGACGAATAATAAATGGATGTAAGATTTTTGCAACATTTACTATAAATTCTAAATTACTTTTTATACGTCACGTAAAGGATTTTCTGTTTGTATAAAAGTTAATTAACAAATTAGCAATTCTAGAATGATACAAAGATACAGACAAGCAGCAGTCTTTAAACATATTAATATACCTTTCCGGAACTATATTCTAAGTTTATATTTTGAATTTTCATTTAAAAATTGTGCTTTTATCGATCTTTACGGTGAACAGAAATTATGTACAGAGATTTATACGCAGAAATTGTTCGTGTACGTAAATTATCTTCACAAATTTCTGTACATAAGCAATTTCTGTGTATACATCTATGTACATAATTTTTGGAATGAATTTTTTTCGTCAGTAGATAATCGTACGAATAATGCTGAAAATATACAATAAAATTTTGTAATTATACAAAATTTTAATTGTAAATTAACTTATAAATCTTTACTTTATTACTCTGTAATTATGTACAACAGATTTATTTAATGTACGTTCTTCAATCTCGCATTAATCACAATTACTCATAGATTGCAGATGATCTTCGTCTTTATAACGTCCTCATCCTTCTAATTTTTTTATTTCTTTGTCCATAGAAGTGATATTTTTTTACTCGTGTTTCGAGTAAAAAATACGACGTTTCAACTAATTTCATCCATTGTCAAAATGTAAGTTATAAAACTACATACCCAAATTAACCGACACACATTATTAATAGCTTTACTCACACATCATTTCAACGCCTTAACTGCAAGAGTATTAATTCCGAGATTTTTAAACAGATAAGAATAAACTTAATAGGTTAATGCACAACATCATGGTTTGTGTTAAAAATTAATGAGTTACACTTAAACTGTCGCACGTCTCCTGTCACATTGAAGTACCTACGCTACTCCCAGTCATATTTGGTCAGATAAATTTTTAAAAAAGTCATCCTACTCATGTTGATTTTACAAATGGGATCTAAAAGTAACTACAACGTTGATACAAAAGATGCTTCAATGAGTGCATTGCCAAAATATGTTCTTTGTACCATATCTAATGGGACTCTTGTGACTCTGAAGAGCTATTCTAAATAGATTTAGGGGAGATAGGATCGAATCACTCTAACGCAACCGAACCTTTCCATAAACATATCGATTTTTTTTCCTTCTTTCGTTTTCATCGATTCACTTTATTTTCAATTTAATGAACATTTATGCAAGAAATAATCAAAGGAAACCGAATACTTTCTACCCTTCGTAGGATTTTTATAAATAGAGACTATTGAAAAAGGCTCTATTAGAATAAATAAAGTCTATATGAGGTTGATATTTCCTGTAAATTAGAATTGAAGTGTTTTACTACATATTATTTATTTACTTATTTATTCTTTCGTGACAGATCTTTAACCTAAATGTTTTAATAAGAAATTACCTTGAAAAAAATATTATTTCAATAACTGTATTATCAAAATTATTTTTAACGCGCGCGAAAAAACCAATTGCATTTTATTAATTTCAAAAATTAATTTGCTTTTCTAATTAAATTTTTAAATATTTCATTAAAATTTTTAATATACTTATAATTTGTTTCACATTTATTCCAGAAATGAAAATGGTTCTGGTTATATTATTTGGAAGTTAATTCAGTTAGTTTAACTTCATCAAAGTAGGATTAACATTGAGGTTTTAACGAATAAAATTAAATGAACATAACCTCAAAATCATAATTAAGTTAAAAGACAAATCAATAGTAGAAGTAAGCAGATTATCCTGTTAGACCGGGTGGTGAGGGACTGTGTCCAAAATATCTGGGACTCATTACCATTAAAAATTCTTGAACTGGTTCATCCAGATTCGATCCTGGCTTCCCCAGAGCGGTAGACTGATTCCTTTACCGCCTCGGCCATCCCGCCATTGAGTTATATAGAGACAGTTAAGAAGTCTTTTTATTACACTTTACATCATTATAAAACTGAAAATCTGAACACTTCATGCAAAACGTTTCTTTTCAAATATTGCAATAACTCCGAAGTAGGATTATTGTAAAATACGTTTACCACAGAACAGTTAGTAATTTGTTTATATGTTAGTCATTCTATTGCCTAATAAACAGATGTTAATTCACATTTTAATACATTGTGTCAACCATTTTTATTCAACAAACAACGTTCGAATTTTTTCTATGTTTATAACTAAAAAATCAAAAATCATGAAAAAAATGGATTAATTTTTATTTTTCGTTTTTTTGCACCGATCTTAATGTATAAAAATATTTTACAGAATAACACTTTACATACAAGTGGTATAAGTCTATATTGACTCATTACAGCCTATATATATGCTTTAATGAGTCAATATATAATTATTTTCTTAAGATAAGTTTAAAATATTTTATGTAGTCATCGTAAACCATGTCTAAAATTAATATTAGTCTATATTATTATATAAACTTTAAAAAATTAATTTTACAGTTTTTTTTAATTGAGTTAATAAAAATTATAAAATAGACATGATAATATAATTATATTTTCTTGGTAAAGCCTAAATAATTATTATAAATGAAGATCAATGGAATCGAATCGAGACGTCTAATAAGAACTATTCTGTAATTTTAGCTTATTTAAAACTTAAAATAAATATTGCAGATTAAGATTGGATGTGACAAATTTTAATAATTTTCTCTAGAAATTTAGCCTTTTGTTCGATTTTTTTTGAATCATTAGGGATTGGATTGATGGAATAAGACAAACGACACTTAGGCTATCTCTTAAGAGAAAAGGTCCCATCCGGGAGGATTTTCAATGGAAAACTGTCGTGTTAAACACGTGAAGTAAATTCGGAAAACTCCACGTGGCCAGCCCATTAGTCAGGCGCGAACCCACGACCAACTATTAGTGTTCAGTGGTTTTATCCACACGACCACTGGTGAGCACGAATCATTAGAGAAAACAAGCAAACCATGTGAAAAAGAAAAATTCCTCTAGTTTCTGTATAGGAAATCGATACCAATTTTTCTGATGCAAATGCTACTTTTCGGATGAAACCAATTTTATGTTAATTTCATTTCAAATTCAGATTAATACTACTGTATAACCAAATTGTTAATAATTAAGTTACTGTAATTTCGGTAAGTGATTAAATTTAATATATTCAGAAAACTGAAGTAAAATTATTCTTCTAGCGAATGTTCATGGTCTCCAAAACTGGTCCTTTGGTTCTGTTCTGGTTTCGATGGATTTTTAATGTTGCAGCTAAATCTTTCTAATGCTCTTTCTCAATAAATAACAAAAATATTAAGTAAAAGAATTTAAACTCGTGATATCTATTATTGCTGCTTTTATAACTGATATTAAAATAATTTTGAAAAAGTCAATACTTGTTTCAAATGACAATTTCTTTAATTGGATATTTCAATGGAATATTTATTTATTATCTTTAATATAAATGACAATATAAGAGATTCGTAAATAAGTATAACGTCGTAAAAAAATACAGCAAAATTTAGTTTTTTTGAATGTAGAAACAACTCAGGAAAAAAATCTGAATTTTTACACAAATAATATTACAAATACTTTACTATATTTTTCTTATAGAAAAGAACTTGTATCGGAAAATCTTAAAATATTACAATGGAAATTACAATCTCAAAAATTACAATTTTTACATAATTTATATCTGATAGCGATGTAATGATTGTTATCACATTGACATATTGTTATCATANTCAATTGCATATAAAAATCGAAAGAATAATAATTAAACTTCATTATAATTTTTAAAACAAATTAAATTCGCTAGTTTTATCTGTACTTTCCGAAACTTTATATAAATATTTTTACATAATTAAGTACTCAAGATAAGCAAAGATTAAGTAAATAAGTAATTTTCATAATTATTCACGTAAATTATAAAAGGTTTTAAAGATTATCAAGAACAGCTAAAACTATTTTGGATTTTAAGAAAATGATAAAGGATAATTAAAAGAAAATATATTTATAAAAGGTCATCAATGTAATATATTCGATACTTAACAAATATTCAAACAAATTTTTTCCAAGCAGCCAATCAAGTGAGAATTCCATAGCTAATAGCCACTCAAACGAGTGCACGCTCAGAGAAGATATACAAATAAATCCATCTTTATCAGATACAAGAGCGACAGTGTACACAATCTATTCAAGTGGCACCTTCTCTCAATGCTGTTTGTATAGTAAACTCGAATGAAACATCAACTCACAGGCACGTGCCAAAGTTGACCACTTGACATCTCATGAGTTAATGCTCTACAAACAGATTTTCGATACCGTACGCCTACTGTCATCTTTCAATGATGACAGGTTTTGCCGTGTGCCGTTTAAAGTTCGATTTGCTTAAGGAACCTTCGAAACTTATCTATCATCTTCCTTCGTTATATATTTCATTTTCTAGTCTTTCTATGAATATTTTGCTGTCAATATCGACGTTTTGTGCGCAATATTTTATAGAAAATATACCTAATCAATTGCATGCAAAGTTCTTTCAGGAATATCACCAACATTTCAGATAAATCTCGTTTAAATTCATGCGTATTTGCATATTTTAAGCATTATATAAGACCATCCTTTCAATATTTTATATTTAAAGTTGTGAATTTGCAACTGCTTTTCACTTTTGTCAAATTATATTTAATTTTGAATACATTAGCGCTTTTAAATGGATTCGAAAATATATCTGTAGTGATAAAACTATCATTTTTATGTGATTTTAAAGGGATATTATGTTGTTTATCGGGTGGTTTCTTGTCTGTGGCAATAAAAAAAATCTTTTATACGAAAANTTAATTATAAATTATGGAATTAAATATTATAAAATATTTTATAAGGTAATTATTTATATTAATTTCTAACAAATTTTAATTTAAACAAGCCAATTTTTTGATTTCAGAAGATCGCTTTCGATGTCAAAATATTAATAATGTTTTTGTTAATCATCATATTCATGATTTAATTTAGATTACGATAACCGTTTTACGATTGGACCACAAAACAATAATCATCATCATCATCGGAATGATATTATTTCAGGTTTAAATCTGAATGTCGATTCAAACGATTTATTCTCATACAAGAGGATTCCTCGTGTTTATATAAGTAGCTCTTAAGAGCAAAAGCCTTTCCACATCTCTGGCAAATATAAGGCTTACTGGTGGAATGGGTTTGGATATGAGCCCTTAGATTAGATTTATCTGCAAATGCTTTGCTACAAATGTGGCATTTAAAAGGCTTCTCTCCCGTATGTGTACGAATATGCCCTTGTAAAAGCCAGGGACGACTGAATGCCTTACCGCAATAAGGACACTGGCATCCTTGACTATGAGTTCTAACATGCATGCTATAAGCGGGTGTGGAAACATAGACCTTATCGCAATGAGGACATTTTCGGGCTTTCTTATCTGTTACACTACGGTGTGTCTGGCGATGACGAGCTAGATTACTAGAAGTGCTATACCTCTTACCACATTCCGGGCATACGTGATTTTCCGCGCTTCGAATATTAGAACTTGGATACGCATCCGGTATTCTCATATCTATTCCTAAATATTGAGACAGTATAGGTACGTAAGCATTTTGGACCGTTATAATCTGTTGAGGCCATTCTGTGAAATCTAGACTAGCTGACGACTGAGGACTGGAAGGCTTCGGCATTATGTAGGATTCTAGACCCTCTGCTGTGTAGACGTCTCTTTCCGGACTCGATGGATTTTCTGGCTTCAAGGCTTGGACTTTCATAGTTAAAACCTCTGTTTCGGAGGACTTTGGAGGAATTTCTGGCATTTTAATTGAGTCGTTAATTGGTGACTCGTGTGTCCAATCACATTTTTCAGTAATGCCGGTATTTTTGTCATCTGTGAATAAATTCAATTAATTGCAATCTTTCAGATGTAAACTTAATTAATAACAATATATTCTATCAACAATTATTTTAATAATTGTAAACAGCGAGAAAGAAAGGATTTAAAATTGTTTTTTTTCCTTTTATTCTTTGAATGCCGTCTGATCAAGTTTATATAAAAGAAAGTGTAAACATATCTGTTAAATGAAAAAATAAAGAAAATACCTTTGCCCTCACTTGGAAAATCTGGAATTGTATATCTCCTTTCATACGTAATTGAAAAAATTCAAGAGGATATGGAAACGTTGGCTTTTCACATCTGATAAAAAAATAATACCAGTATAGTATCTGTTTTTTCACGAATTATTAATGAAAACATTAAATTAAACAATTTGTAACCAATAATTAAATTTAAGTAAAAACATCAATTAAATTAATCGAATAAAGTCCACAGAATTAAATTACAGTGAAAGTTTTTCTCTATAAATTTTATATTTTGGAGAATAATTTTAAAATTATCCAACACCTGTGGACTGAAAGCAAACTAAAACAAGTTGTAATACCTTAACACGCAAACTACATCTAATCTTAATACTTGTAAGAATATTTNATTTTTTAGGTAAGTTAAAATTTTCTTTTTTTTTTTTATTTAATTTTTTTGTTTCATCAAATTTCAGTGGAATGAAAGATTTCAACAGTCAAACTCTGTCACGAGCCGACACGTGGCTGAGCGCATGCGTTCGAAAGTCTGTCGACAGATCTTTGCCAGGAGGTGCAGCCCTATGTCTTTCGTATGTCATCAGCTGGTTTAACCGGTGAGAATTGTCAAGTCGACATAAGAATAAAGCAAAATTATTCAAAAAATCATACATAAAAATCTTTCGACTAAAAGTTAAATTTCTTAAAATTCGCGGGGTTTCCACACGAAAATTAATGGTGCGGAGTAGAAGACGCTTTCCGGAGACGGCAAGATGGCCGACTTACAGTAGACACTCGCAGTGTTATGATCGAATTATAATATCGTATTAGTTCACGAAAATAGACAAAACACGAACTGACATAGTAAAGGTCATCTGACCCAGATGTTCCACATCTGGTGACGACGTAAAAACAAACATTTCAAAGCTGTAAGCGAAACTTGTACCCGCTGAAGCACCGTGTGCTGATTAACGTTGCCAAGAGAGTTAGTAAAGGTATAACGTCTGGTAAATTTCTACAACAGTTAAAAAGCCCGATAGCTAAGTTTAATGGGACGTAAAAGACATAGAAATCAGAATCTACCATATGGGAGATATATTTTTACGGATTTTGCTCGCAATTTGTATGCAGACGAACGCCGGTTGTAATCGGATACGTGGAAAGATCGGGATTCTATATCATAACTACCATATTCTTCAATGGAGTTAATTCCGTGTTGCTACAGTATAAATTTGAATGGGAGATGTAATTAGTTTCAAGTGGGTGGTACATTGTAATCCAGAAATCATCAAAAGTCTGCATTGAACCTTCAAAAATCAAATACAATATAAGAAATATAAAGTAATTTTACATTTTTGTATGGATAAAAAAGTAAATTTTATAAATATTTACTCAAATGGCGATTTAGAATGATGGTTTATAAAATGTTGATTAGTTTTTGTAAAAGATAATCAAAAGGCAAACTTGGAAACTCATTATAATAGTCACGTGAACGGCGCGTGCCAGATCATCCGGATGTGACGCAACAAAAACCGACACTCTCCGTCTGTATCGGTTGGACTTTCTCCGGAACTTGTAAATCACGGAAGGGTAAATGAAATACTAGAGGTATTCCCCTTGTCTTTTAACAATTTTATTCTTATTTATTCACCGTGACAATCTGTTATAAAAATAAATGCATTTTACTAAGACAAAGTTTCCTCTTCAAGGCCATTCTAATCAAAATAAAATTTCAAAAATTAGTAAAAAATCCTATTATTAATTATAATTTAATGATTTCCACATCATTAATAATAAATTATCTTTTCCATTTCCATGTACATGAAAATACCTTCGATTAGTGATGAGGAAGGCTCGAGGCATAACGGAGTGTTGCCTTGTCAAGACACGATCCGACTACTGCAAAAATAGAAGTCCTCAACGTTTAGATGGGTTCGTGTTACTCTGGTAGCGGACCCAAGTGGTCCTCAGCACCCGAATTAATCAACGATGCTCTTTTTTTTTTTTTTTTTAAACTATATCCCTCCCCTCCATTCTATCAGGGGAAGAGGAGAGGGCAACAAGTGGGGCACCGGAAGGCTACCAGTGTTACGAGAGCAAAGGTCACAACCTCGGAAGCTGGGTCAGAAGAGAGATGACGATGTTATAATTCCCTCAAATTGAATGTTTGATAAAAATAAACTCCATCTGGATTTGAATATAATTTTTTTTTTCTTTTCTCCTTTCAAAGAATGACGATTCTCTGCGTATCTTTAATATATACAAACCTGGTCTTATAGGATTTTTTTTTACGTTAGCTTATTTTATTATATTAACGTAAAATATACGTTATTATATTTTTAAATTCGTGTTTTAGCTTAAAAATTATACATTAATTTGTTTATTATGAGGATATTTTTCGAATTATCTCTGTAACGTGTCTGTATGTAATAAATTGTAATTATTTTATTATTTATGTAACAAATAATATTTAAAATTAATATAAATATTTTAAAATTAAATTAACAAATTTTTAACAAATTATATTTTTGAAATATGTTGATTTTAATATAATTTTTTTTTTCATATTTATTTTGAAAATTAAATTGTAAACATGTAAAATATTCGAAAAATATGAATTAAAAAAAATTTAAATTTCAAGTTGCTATTATGTAATTAATAAAATTAATTTTAATTACAATTAGAATTTTTTTAATGTAAATTTTCTTTTTTTTTTTATTTAATTTTTTTGTTTCATCAAATTTCAGTGGAATGAAAGATTTCAACAGTCAAACTCTGTCACGAGCCGACACGTGGCTGAGCGCATGCGTTCGAAAGTCTGTCGACAGATCTTTGCCAGGAGGTGCAGCCCTATGTCTTTCGTATGTCATCAGCTGGTTTAACCGGTGAGAATTGTCAAGTCGACATAAGAATAAAGCAAAATTATTCAAAAAATCATACATAAAAATCTTTCGACTAAAAGTTAAATTTCTTAAAATTCGCGGGGTTTCCACACGAAAATTAATGGTGCGGAGTAGAAGACGCTTTCCGGAGACGGCAAGATGGCCGACTTACAGTAGACACTCGCAGTGTTATGATCGAATTATAATATCGTATTAGTTCACGAAAATAGACAAAACACGAACTGACATAGTAAAGGTCATCTGACCCAGATGTTCCACATCTGGTGACGACGTAAAAACAAACATTTCAAAGCTGTAAGCGAAACTTGTACCCGCTGAAGCACCGTGTGCTGATTAACGTTGCCAAGAGAGTTAGTAAAGGTATAACGTCTGGTAAATTTCTACAACAGTTAAAAAGCCCGATAGCTAAGTTTAATGGGACGTAAAAGACATAGAAATCAGAATCTACCATATGGGAGATATATTTTTACGGATTTTGCTCGCAATTTGTATGCAGACGAACGCCGGTTGTAATCGGATACGTGGAAAGATCGGGATTCTATATCATAACTACCATATTCTTCAATGGAGTTAATTCCGTGTTGCTACAGTATAAATTTGAATGGGAGATGTAATTAGTTTCAAGTGGGTGGTACATTGTAATCCAGAAATCATCAAAAGTCTGCATTAAACCTTCAAAAATCAAATACAATATAAGAAATATAAAGTAATTTTACATTTTTGTATGGATAAAAAAGTAAATTTTATAAATATTTACTCAAATGGCGATTTAGAATGATGGTTTATAAAATGTTGATTAGTTTTTGTAAAAGATAATCAAAAGGCAAACTTGGAAACTCATTATAATAGTCACGTGAACGGCGCGTGCCAGATCATCCGGATGTGACGCAACAAAAACCGACACTCTCCGTCTGTATCGGTTGGACTTTCTCCGGAACTTGTAAATCACGGAAGGGTAAATGAAATACTAGAGGTATTCCCCTTGTCTTTTAACAATTTTATTCTTATTTATTCACCGTGACAATCTGTTATAAAAATAAATGCATTTTACTAAGACAAAGTTTCCTCTTCAAGGCCATTCTAATCAAAATAAAATTTCAAAAATTAGTAAAAAATCCTATTATTAATTATAATTTAATGATTTCCACATCATTAATAATAAATTATCTTCTCGTTGCGCTTAAACGTTTATTTAATAAAATACTTTTATTAAAATAAAATAAAAGCAAAATACTAATTGATAATTTTTATTCTTTTATGAGACAAATACTGAGAAGAATTTTTAAATAAATCCTTCCAAAATTTACTAAAATTCTATTATATAAAGTAGGACCGGACTATATTTAATCCGGTCCTATATAATAAAAAGTAGGATTCCATCCTACTTTCTATTTTTTAAAGTAGGACTCCGTCTTCTATTTTATTTTTATTTTTCAGATATTTAGAAAGCTTTCTTTATATAGAAAGACATTGCATGCTTGATGCTAAATATATAAAAATACACGAACCAGACAATGGATTTCGACTCAATAGTAGATACTGTATACTTGTAAAGAATTTAAACTCTTTGGTGCAATATTAAATGATCAAAATAGGCTTAAAGATATATTTTATATCAACATTTATTGTCATTTTATAGAAGTAGAACGTCTCAAAATAACCGTCCCATTAGATCCTATTGTAAATCTCAAATATAGTAGCAACCGCATAGCCTATTTATGCTCTTTCAAAAGAAAAGTGGTCTCTAGATAATCATTTTTTTTCCAGTATATTGATTACAATTACTATATATTGTGTTCTTTCTGTTTGTTTGTCCAATGATAGAGCTGTAAAGGACCCACTTGACATTTCTATCTAAACCTATGACAGTGGCAGACTCCATAATTGGGGTTCGTTATGACAAGGAGATAAAAACGCTCTCTCAACCTCTCCGGCAACCAACAATAGAGAAGGCTTCAACAAAGCGTTCCAGATGGTTTGTTTATCGACATAGCCGCCTTTCATATCGCCTGTAGTGGCTGCGCTCTTTCCTTTTTTTCTTTAGCTCTGTCCAATCGTCTTATACACTAATATCACCTGATTCAGATATAGGAGGGTTGCAGGCACCTTTCAGGCGCCAGTGTGAAATTGAGAGGAATCTCCTGAATTTTTCTTTTATTCTTTATTTTAGTTTAAAATTCCTCATTTTATGTTCGATNCGACGTTTCAACTAATTTCATCCATTGTCAAAATGTAAGTTATAAAACTACATACCCAAATTAACCGACACACATTATTAATAGCTTTACTCACACATCATTTCAACGCCTTAACTGCAAGAGTATTAATTCCGAGATTTTTAAACAGATAAGAATAAACTTAATAGGTTAATGCACAACATCATGGTTTGTGTTAAAAATTAATGAGTTACACTTAAACTGTCGCACGTCTCCTGTCACATTGAAGTACCTACGCTACTCCCAGTCATATTTGGTCAGATAAATTTTTAAAAAAGTCATCCTACTCATGTTGATTTTACAAATGGGATCTAAAAGTAACTACAACGTTGATACAAAAGATGCTTCAATGAGTGCATTGCCAAAATATGTTCTTTGTACCATATCTAATGGGACTCTTGTGACTCTGAAGAGCTATTCTAAATAGATTTAGGGGAGATAGGATCGAATCACTCTAACGCAACCGAACCTTTCCATAAACATATCGATTTTTTTTCCTTCTTTCGTTTTCATCGATTCACTTTATTTTCAATTTAATGAACATTTATGCAAGAAATAATCAAAGGAAACCGAATACTTTCTACCCTTCGTAGGATTTTTATAAATAGAGACTATTGAAAAAGGCTCTATTAGAATAAATAAAGTCTATATGAGGTTGATATTTCCTGTAAATTAGAATTGAAGTGTTTTACTACATATTATTTATTTACTTATTTATTCTTTCGTGACAGATCTTTAACCTAAATGTTTTAATAAGAAATTACCTTGAAAAAAATATTATTTCAATAACTGTATTATCAAAATTATTTTTAACGCGCGCGAAAAAACCAATTGCATTTTATTAATTTCAAAAATTAATTTGCTTTTCTAATTAAATTTTTAAATATTTCATTAAAATTTTTAATATACTTATAATTTGTTTCACATTTATTCCAGAAATGAAAATGGTTCTGGTTATATTATTTGGAAGTTAATTCAGTTAGTTTAACTTCATCAAAGTAGGATTAACATTGAGGTTTTAACGAATAAAATTAAATGAACATAACCTCAAAATCATAATTAAGTTAAAAGACAAATCAATAGTAGAAGTAAGCAGATTATCCTGTTAGACCGGGTGGTGAGGGACTGTGTCCAAAATATCTGGGACTCATTACCATTAAAAATTCTTGAACTGGTTCATCCAGATTCGATCCTGGCTTCCCCAGAGCGGTAGACTGATTCCTTTACCGCCTCGGCCATCCCGCCATTGAGTTATATAGAGACAGTTAAGAAGTCTTTTTATTACACTTTACATCATTATAAAACTGAAAATCTGAACACTTCATGCAAAACGTTTCTTTTCAAATATTGCAATAACTCCGAAGTAGGATTATTGTTAAGATACGTTTACCACAGAACAGTTAGTAATTTGTTTATATGTTAGTCATTCTATTGCCTAATAAACAGATGTTAATTCACATTTTAATACGTTGTGTCAACCATTTTTATTCAACAAACAACGTTCGAATTTTTTCTACGTTTATAACTAAAAAATCAAAAATCATGAAAAAAATGGATTAATTTTTATTTTTCGTTTTTTGCACCGATCTTAATGTATAAAAATATTTTACAGAATAACACTTTACATACAAGTGGTATAAGTCTATATTGACTCATTACAGCCTATATATATGCTTTAATGAGTCAATATATAATTATTTTCTTAAGATAAGTTTAAAATATTTTATGTAGTCATCGTAAACCATGTCTAAAATTAATATTAGTCTATATTATTATATAAACTTTAAAAAATTAATTTTACAGTTTTTTTTAATTGAGTTAATAAAAATTATAAAATAGACATGATAATATAATTATATTTTCTTGGTAAAGCCTAAATAATTATTATAAATGAAGATCAATGGAATGGAATCGAGACGTCTAATAAGAACTATTATGTAATTTTAGCTTATTTAAAACTTAAAATAAATATTGCAGATTAAGATTGGATGTGACAAATTTATATATATATAAATTCTTGATAAGGAGACGATCTTTGCTCCAAATTTCATCAAATTATAAGTAAACATTAAGGGTTTTTTTAATGAAAATAAAGTTTATTGATGCGTTGATAGTTTAGTTATTTCCTAAAGTC